TCTCCTAATTCTCATAGTCTGTAGTGAGGATCAAAGTCCACACTTAAGTCAATGTTTTGAGTTCTGTAAAATGTGATAAATTCGTATATTAATAAATTGTTATTTTATAGAAGTGCGAGTGTCTGCAGATAATTGTATTACTATTATGTTGATACAACGCTGTCACTTTGAAATTCGTTCAGCCATATTTGGATATTCAAACCTTCACCAGCAATTTTATTTAGATAGCATTGAAATTAATATAATTTCATCAAAAATTATCTTCTAATTAGTTGCTTCCATTCCAGTCCTTCACACTTATTTTAGGGTGATATTTATTTAACAAAAAAATACTAATACTGTCTAAAGCTGAATTAGAAGCTCATTTTTTAAATATTCTCCGAAAAAGACTGACTATTAATTAAATAGTTCCCGAACGAATTATCTGAAATTTTAGCATGTTGTTCTGCATACCATATTAATCAAAAGTCTTCAGAATGGTTTCCGAACTACAGTGTACGCAAATATAGCAAATTCAAAGAAGTTAATCGCGAAAAACACCAGCACGCACCTATGACTCTTTATAATAAATAGCTACTTCAATGCTGCTCTTTGATCCATCTACAGAATAGCGGCCTGTTTTTGCCCCATTTTTTATTATGTTGGTTCTCTGTCAAATTATTGAATCTGTATTTTTCGTTGACTAAAAAGGCGATGTTTCAATACTGTTTTGGCCCATATAATGGATATTGGCTTGTTATTGGAAGCACTTTTCGATTTCCTTATAGCATCGTATTAACGGAATAGTTCCTTATTAAATTGGCTAAAATTGTAGGTGTGCCATCTTGCATGGAAGTAAACTCACTTTTTGCAACTCATACCTCACACTGTCACACTCTTGTCACAAATCTCACCGAGGCCACCAGATCGCTAGAATTACTATAATGAGTACAAAATGAACGTTGACCAACTTCTGTTATAAAAGTACCTCCACACTCTATATGCACGCGAAAACTATAATACACGTTAATGGCGGTAATCGATCAACTAATAGATAATTAATTTAAGAACCGCAGTAATTATAAACACGCTAAAAACAGCTAAACAAAGCTTGCGTAAGTATTAAATCGCAACATCAAATTTCAGATGAATCATTGATGAAGTTGAATTAACGCAGCACAGTTATGAAATGGAAATGTAACGTAAGAAGAATACTTCATAAAATATCTGTGGAAGTAGTTTACTTATATTTTCAAAGCAGTGGTATATTCTGTAATATCTATGGCACTATGGAACAGTGCAAGTCCTTCTAGGGATAAACATACTTGAAGAAAGCCTACAAAGCTGTAGGGATGTTTTCACATTGTCTTTTACTGGTAACTGACTATTGAATCAACTTGCTCCAGCAATGCGACCTACCTATGTCGATCTTGCACCGATCTGGTGCGTCATATATAGACAACCACAACATTCATGGCTCGAAATTAACTTCCGAGGCGGAAATTAGAACCCGCGAGCCTTTGAGTCGATGGATTAGCAGATTGACGCGCTAAACCACTCGACTATCCTACACTCAACAAGGATCCCTATCTCATCTAGGTAGCAAACTTGCAACTAAAAATTTGAAAAAGCTACAGGACATACCCATCCACTTCAACAGCCAAGTTCTCACAGGAGAGAAGAACACAATACCATGCAACGCATCACAACGATTAGGGGCGGAAACAAACCAAGAATTTCAGCTTCCATCCATAAAGTAGGTTCCTTAAAGCCACACGGCCAAAACATATCCCATGGTAGCTGCCTTTTGTTCATCGGATGCTCTCAAAAATATACTGAGGCCGCCTCTGTCAGATATCTGGCAAAAATACAGTAATAGTACTCTCTTCCCGTTAATGCCAACAGGAGAGTCCAATGAAAAATAAAAAGGCGAGCTAGGTGGAAAAGCAGAATTTCATCATGCGGACGGCCTCGAGCCTTATTATGTATTGTGAATTCTGAGAAATATAATTTTAATATCGGTTCAGAAATAACAACTGGCTTATTTTACATCGATTGGGATTTATGTTATTTGATTAGGATTGTTTTTTCTTTGTGGGTTTTGAATAACGAGAATAAATGCCATCCTACCAAAAGCGTATACAATGCTAGATTTTCATAGAATGTACCTAATTTGGAGGACACTACAAAATAAATTAAGACCAGACCTAAAAACAAACCCTGAGCAATACCCAAGTCTAATCTGAAGAAACTAATAAAAATACGCCTTCAGTTTGTAGGTACAAAATGAATCAAAGGTAACTTACATATTTTATTAGAACTACAAAATTATTTCATAATAAAAAAGAGTAATACGTTTACATATAAGTACACGTAAAATGACAAATAACCAAAGTTATAAATTGTATATGAAAATACGATTAGCAGACATGTAAATATTGTAGACCTCAATGAAATGATCATATTGGAAGGCAATTATGTTAAACTGTTGCATGCTAGAGATGTAAGCATTCGTAGACACATTATTGTATTGAAGTTTTACGTATATAGTTTGATTATTCAAACTCAAAATGATATATTTGTCCAATAATGACTTCATTATTGAATGAGACGAAAAACTGGCCCACAACAGATGAATATTTTTTATTTGAAAAGCTACATAAAAAGTTAAATGTCAAATAAAAAAAACAGACCAATGAAGTTTCTTAGACGCAAAGCTTGCTATTGTTCATTAGCTCCAGAATATGAATAGTCAACTGCCGAGATACCGCGAGTCCGAGTCATGAACCGTCTAAGGGTAGTAGAACTGGTAAAAACCTCCCCAGGCAGACTATTCGACAATATTGAAACTCTTAAGGACACAGGACAGGTCGTACTGGCCAGTTCTGGGTGTACCAAGTTCGACACGGTTAGAATGCCGAAGTCAGGCGAGTTCGTCTGGCAGGCTCATCGCGGCGAGGCGACATCATGAAGGAGAGCTCTGAGGGACAAAACTCGTTGACGTAGCGGTAGAAGACAGACTGATCGCCGACAGTGCGAAAGGGTCCCTGAACTGTTCCTCAGAGAAGAGTTATCGATCAGTCGAACAGCCCTCCTAGCCTCCTAGCCCTCAAGTATCGGGGCAGTAGCCCAAACTGTACTCGAGGCTAAGACACTAGTGTCGTCTTATATGGGCCTTGTGCAGAGTGAGAATGTTATTAGGAGAAAAGTGCTTTTAGTGTTAAACTAACCTAAACCTAAGAAACGTCAAAAACACCTATAAAATGTCATCTTGCAGACTAGGTAGTTTTTAGGGTGCAAACAGTCATTCCACGTTTGCTCACTAGGATCGTTGTGAGGGTCCATCTATGGAGGAATGGCTCAACTAAACGCATTGTTGGTTGCATATGTATTGTGAAGCTGAGTAGTCTAAAGTTTTCATCTCTGAGAAGAAAGTTAGTTGAATAGCAATACCGCATCTGGATGATTGTGGGTATTGGTCTGCATGTGTATAAAATCAATGATATTTGCTGTGAGAGAAAATCATTACTGAATATGCTGCCAATGAAGTATATCTACTAGCTGTGCCCGATGGGTTATTTATCATATACGTTGTCCTTTCTGAAGAAAGGTTATGTTCAAAGTTATAAACAACTACGTTTTTTCCGTTTTTTCTTTTGTGTTTTCAAAAACTTTGAGGAGAATTACGGAACATCACCACCGCGCCCGCGTTGTGTATAATTACTGTTAGCATGTATATGACATGTAGTTCGATAGTGTACAGTGAATATAATTATTTCTTATCTCTCTCATTTTTGAAATTTAGCAAATTTGCATATGTAATTTCTAGAATGGATAAGAAAAAGCGGATGCGCAACTAATTTCTAGCTTTGAATCTCATTCATATTTGAGACAAGAATTCAATGCAATTATCATCAACACATTATTAGCACACAAATCCTCAGTACGTACCTATACATTGCCGTTACCTCCAGTAATACCATCTTTGAAGCAGACTTTACATCAAATCAGGGCCAAACATTGATAACTGAAGTCTCATAACGTTTAGGCAACACTACAACTACAAAACGAGTTCACGTGTCCATCAGCTAGTGCTAGGTTAACATCTTGTAGAAAAACCTACACAATGTCACAAAAAACAACAGAATGTCAAAAATTGTTTACCTCAAATCTTTTCCAAAAATTATCAGGATCATCTGAAACGTCAAAAAATGTGGCTCAGCGATTTACATTTTTCTTCGGTTTTGACCTTCTTCTCCGCCGCCACAGTCGATTTTCAAAAACTTTCTCGTCCTTGGCATAGTAGTAACATTTCATCAAAATCCGAGCGGTACTTCACAAGGTAAAAGCGGTTATAGGATTAGCGAGCAGACAGACAGAGCGACACAGACAAAAAACAATATCTACATTTCGAAAATGTACGCGATTACAATACTTCGCCAGTAGGCGTGGAAAGTAAGAGTAGGGCTCGTCACCAGCTGGGCCAATCCTTGGGTAATGGCGAACGCTTCAATGGAACGATATGCTGCATCCGTCTTGCTTGAGCCCTATCAGAGTTCATTATTGGCATTGAGGACTACTGGCTGTGAAGTATCGTGATGGATTTTCAAGAAGTCAATGTTGACTGCGAGGTATTCAAGTAGACTATCCCAGTTATGATCGGAGGGACAGCGATAGAGGCAGCAAATAAATTTAGGGGATGGTAAGAACTTCAGTCAAAAGTACAAAATGCTCTTCCGACATGATTCCAAAGAGACGTCTCTGAAGCAAAAAAGACGGCTGCGGAAAAGTCTCAGCTGCCCCGTTCATCCTCAAATTGGAGTACACCTCGTAGTTCGGAAAACTAAGATGGTTGTAGGGACAGAATCGGAGATTTTGGTCGCCACCAAGAAAGATTTTGATACAGATAGTAGTGAACAGCATCAATGTCCCTGTTAATCCCGCAGATGTTCGTGAAGGAGATTTTATCATCGATGTTGTTCCCTAGAGTAGCCACTTTACGTCTATTTAACAATCCCGTTGGCGGACTTGTATCTCCACCCAGCAATAAGTATTGAGGCATGTGCAATCAGTTGAACCGGAAAAAGTTACTGAGTGTAACAACTACCGGAACAAGCATTTGCCAATGCCCCGCTTAGTAGGGAGGGATACCCTTAATACCTGTCAAACTTAGCCTTCCACTCTGCGTCGATACTGAAACTAGTCGAGCATAAAAAGTAAAAAATCGTATATTTCTAACGCAACAGTGTAAAATAAATTATGCAGATGTTTCATTTCCCCACGGATCTTTCCTTTCATTTAGTAAGGCTACAGAGCTTTCTGCTAATTTTGTTAGAACCTCTGCCAACTTGTGCCTGGAATAAACCTAAAAACATATTTTTATTTATTACAACTACAAGCTGTTTAGCATCATCGTTAAACGGATAAGAACAAAATTATTACTTTACTGAAAGCAAGTTAAAATATTGGCTCACAAGTTCTTTTAGAAGAAAAACCATACTCACTTTATATAAGCTGTATTTTTCAGCAGCTAAGATATCAGCAAGTTGAACACATTCTTCATGTTGATTTGTTTCAGATAAAACAGTGTATAGAAGTAATACGATTTTGGGTATGCAGGTAGATCTGATATACTCATCATCCTGAGCGCCTACTAACCATCCTTGTGGAAACAAGAGAACGTTGTACAACATAGTTTTGGCAGTTTTTGCTAGATGACTGTGTGCCAGTTTCCATCTAGAAAACAAAAATTTGTAGTCTTTTATATCTGCAAGTGACCGTTATCACCAAAAGCAATTCGAATTCAACCTGATTTCAACCCGATTTCTACTACAGTTGTGTTGCTTTGATGTTCCCATCGAAAGCAACTGGATGAATGGTTGTGGATTGATGAACTGACTATATGCTTGGTAAATATGTTTTTGAAGGTACACGCTTTTTCGCTTCCCAAAAGTCCCGATTAAGAGAAAAGGAAATTATCTAACCATATCAATCAATAACCATGCCTAGTACCAAGTTCAAAAACTGTTAAAGTGAAGTACGTTTATGAATGGCACAAATTAGCTGGGTTTTTCCTGGAAATATTTGCTTTGATATACTTTTTTCAGTTATTTTGTGTATGCTACTGCTCTGATAATATGCTGTCCGCGATCGGCGGAAATAGGTGAAATGTTTTCTGCACTAGGTAGCCACTAGTGTGCTGCTAGTTTATCCCGCGCCTGCTACAGGGTGCCCAATCTAGAACTGACTGATTAAAACTGCGCGCCATTATTAATACACGCATTTCAGTAGATGGTGCCGTAGTAGTTGTTTAAAGCACATGTTGCAACGATTTGGAAGCTACGACAAGATTTCGGTCGAAATAATGTGCCCCAGTGTCAACACCATGCGTCAGTTAGTGCGGAAATTTGAACAAACAGGTGAAGTTAAAGACTTGCCAAGTTCGGGCCGTGTTGAAACTATTCGTACTCCGGAAAATATCGATAGAGCTCGTGAAAGTGAAGTGGAGCGCCCTGAGACGTTTACCAGACATCGGTCTCAACAACTGGGTATTCGTCGGACGTCATTATTCACTATTTTAAAAAAGACTTGCATTTGCGGCCATACAAAATTCAGTTAAGCCAAGAACTACAGGTGACCATGTAAGTCGCCGACAATACAGTCATGCAATATTGCAGCTTAATACCCAAAATAACGATTTTTAACAACTGATAATGAGCGATGAAGCCCACTTCAATATGAACGGATTTTTTAGTAAGCTGAATTGCCGTATCTGGGCATTAGAGAACCCTCGTGTCATCCATCAACGACCACTACATCCTTGTCGAGTCACAGTTTGGTGCGGTGTTTGGTATGGACGTGTCATTGGACCTTACGTCTTTGAAGACGTTGCAGGTAATTAATTCTCTTACTGTCACTGGCGAGCGCTACCGTGATATGGTGCAAAACTTTTTGGCTCCTCAAATCCAATAATTTAACTTGCAAAGCATGTGGTTCCAGCACGACAGAGCAACTTGTCACACAGCTAGGGAAACAATGAATGTTTCGCGAGCAATATTTCCGGAACGTTTATTTTCTCGATTTGGTGATGTCAACTGGTCACCACGGTCACCGGATTTAACGGCTCCTTTTTTATCGTGATTTTTGAAAAATAGGGTTTATGCCACAAAACAAAAAACTGTCAATAAAAGATTAAGATGAAAAAATTTTATTTTATTTCATTTCACAAATATTGAAGGTACCAACCAATCAGTCACATATTGGACAACATGTAGAAGTGACCGTGAAGTGAATGTCAGGTAGTTCAAAGGTGGCATTTCATAGAAAAACCTATATAAAGTGGATCCAAAAAAATCACGCATAATGTTTTACAGGCTAATAGAGACATGGCCGGAATAAGGTGGGAGAGTGTGAAACTTAAGCAAGACCCGTGTCAATACTACAAGTATACAAATGTCACCCTTGCTTCCGCCCCATGTCGATGCTTTGTATAACCAAAATAGCGCCTCTCTAGATAGTCTCGACGATAGTTAACAGCCTGTGGAAGATAACACATATTTGATGAGTCTGATGATGCCTCAAGCACAATTAACTTGCTTCTCACAGTTCTTGCATCACCTGTAGCTCTCCTGGAAGGTCTCAGCAATACTTTTCCAACTGGTCAATTTTAAAGTACACAAAAACGCGACGGTGGAGTATTTTTATCGGATTAACGATGATTTTTTGAGGATGCGACCTGAACGTTAGCTGACGAATAGTTCATCAGCTGGTGGGCGAACTGCAAACCCACCGGCGACAGAATTGACAGCAACCTTTGAGCGATTGGTCGCATTGCCATCTCTGGTGAGAAAACTTTTATTTTAATAAATACAGAGAGTCGGATTGCTGTCAGGTTGCGGGCGGGTTGCGCGGTTGCCAACTGCTTTCAGTGAGAATGGTCCCTTAGATATACAATTTTTCTCAAAAAAAAAAACGTCCATAATATATTCTAGGATGTCAGTCCTCGAGCAGTTGAATCGGGAGTACCTAGGTACATTTTTGTAATTAAAAAATAATTATTTAACTCACCACTTTGAGTGCGCGCAACCAAAAATATATGCCAGCAGTCCACCTACCTTTCTAACTCAGCTCTATATTGTGACTCCCTGTGTTGGTGTGCTACTTTTTCCGGGAACTGTGCGTTCTCGGGCAGACCTTCAGGAGGCATCGGTTTGCTCTTCGAGTGCTTAAACCATTCATTGAAGGCTTCGTGTGCGTCTAGATAGGCTTTGTAACTCAAGTACTCTTTGACAGCTTGATTCAGATCATCTCCAACTTTATCTGTAATAAAATAACGATTATAAATATGGCGAATTTCCCACTAAACTGAAGTGTTCTACCATAACTGCTGTTTCTAAAGTTAAGAATTCTAAGTTGTTCACCAATATGCGGTCAATAAATGTTCTGCCAGATGTTGAAAAAGTGAAGAAATTATTTACGAACAAATCATCGAATTTATTGAGGGAAATAACATTTTAACCAAATTTCAACCTGGATTCAGGAAGAAACACTCAACTAAAACGGCAACACAAATGGTTTTAGAGGACTGGAGGAGATCTATGGACAATAGGAAACATACAGTAAGTGTTTTTGAACTTCGAAAGGGTGTTTGAGATTATCGACAAAGATAAATTACTCACAAAATTGCATCACTACGGATTTGAAGGATCTGTATTCAAAATTCTACAAAACTATTTAATTTGACAGAAGTCAAAAAACCAAAATTGGATCTACATTATCAAGCTCAAAGAATATTTCTGTAGTAAACAAGATAGTAAACTAGATCCACTACTATTTATTTCATACATTAATGACATTTGTAATATTTTAGATTACTGTAAAATTCAGATATTTGCAGATCTATGGACAATAGGAAACATACAGTAAGTGTTTTTGGACTTTGAAAGGGTGTTTGAGATTATTGACAAAGATAAATTACTCACAAAATTGCATCACTACGGATTTGAAGGATCTGTATTCAAAATTCTACAAAACTATTTAATTGACAGAAGTCAAAAAACCAAAATTGGATCTACATTATCTAGCTCAAACAATATTTCTGTAGTAAACAAGATAGTAAACTCGATCCACTACTATTTATTTCATACATTAATGAGATTTGTAATATTTTAGATTACTGTAAAATTCAGATATTTGCAGATGATACATTAATTGAAAATATACACTGCTTTAAAAATGCTAAATTCTGACTTGGCAAAAATCAAAAATTAAATGTAAATAAACTAAAATTGAATACTTCTAAAACAAAATACAGGGTTATCCAAATTAAGTGTCCACCATTAGTAACTTTGTTATTAGTGAAAATACAAAGTTGTTTGAATTAGCAAACTAGTAGCATTTTTAACGCTGGTAAAAATGAGAACTAAAAAAAAACAATTGAGAGTCGTTATTTTGATTTTTTTCAGTAAAATAACATTTTTTTAAATGGAAACCCCTGTATATTATATTTTTTTCTGTTAAAGCATCAAATTTTAAACAAAAAAGCTTACAATAACTTTTCTCCTAGGTTACAAATTGTTGAAGTTATGGCCTCCAATCTGAAACAATTAAATTGTATCGACAAACTTTATTTTCAACATCAACTTATAATCTTACAAAATACAATAACAATTTTTTTTAAAGAAGATGCTCGAAAACACCACCTTGTTCTTCAATACATTTTTGGGCACGTTTTTCAACTGCTCGAACTGTCTTAAGTATGGTCCTACCATCTATCTGGGTTATCTTTTCCCTAACTACAGTCTTTAACGCGTCAAGGTTATCGTACCTTCGCTTGTAAATTTGGTTCTTTAAGTAACCCCACAAGAAGTAATCAAGTGGGTTTAGATCTGGTGATCTGGGAGGCCACTGTATTGGGCCATTTGTTCCTATCCACTGATCATTAAAAGTAGTACTTAGAAAATGATAAGTACCTCTGGAGTTGTGGGCAGGTGCGCCATCTTGCTGAAAATGCAGATGATGTCTACTTATAAGATCCAATTCGTCTAAGAAATTAGTCAGAATTTCTGACATAAATTCCACATATCTTTCAACAGTTAGGGTTCCCTCATAAAAGAACGGGCCAACAATTTTTGAACCAATTATACCGCACCAAACGTTGAAACTGAAACGGACTTGTGGGCCTCTTGGATGTACTAACAAAAGATTTTCTCTTGACCAATAATGGTGGTTTTTTCTATTAAACATTCCAGAATTTGAAAAATTTGATTCATCTGTCCATAAAAGGTAACGAAAGTTATTTACATTTTGGCGACAGAAGCTAAGATACCAATGGCAAAAAACAAGTCTTCTCTCTGGATCCCCTGCCAAAAGCGTTTGAACTGGTCGGTACTTATACGGAATAAATTTGTATTTTTTTAAAATCCTTTGAACAGTACCATAACTGAAATTAGAGTCCTTGAGAATATCTGCTATTGAATTCTCACGATAAGCTTCAAAATATCCAATAACTGCAATTTCCGTGGCCTCGCTTATTATGAATTCTTTTTTTGCCCTTGTTTTAGCAAAAACATTTTCGTTGCCCCTAAATTTTCGATAAAGTCTCAGAAAATATCGTTCATACGGTTGAATGCGAGCGGGATATAATTCACTGTAGTATTCTCTTGCTCTCAAGGAGGATATTCTGCACACTAAATAGCATTCTAACATATCACACTTTTCTTCATGGGAGAACATTTTTCTTTAAATTAATGACACAATAAAGCTTATAAACAAGTATTTACACTAATGTTTGACATTATTTGATTTTATCATTGTTTTCCAAAGCCTTCTAGTTGCGAGTATGTCCAGTTTAACAATTTGTCGCTTATCTTAATGCTGTCAAATCGCAAACGCCATGTTGTTTTCATAGCCGTCTTAATATTATAATACTGCAAATAATTAAAAATATTTATCGTTATTTTGACTTTATTTTTGACTTTAGCGGAAAAGTCATTATGAACTTTTTTGTTTAAAATTTGATGCTTTAACAGAAAAAAATATAATATACAGGGGTTTCCATTTAAAAAAATGCTATTTTACTGAAAAAAATCAAAATAACGACTCTCAATTGTTTTTTTTATTTCTCATTTTTACCAGCGTTAAAAATGCTACTAGTTTGCTAATTCAAACAACTTTGTATTTTCACTAATAACAAAGTTACTAATGGTGGACACTTAATTTGGATAACCCTGTATATGCTAATAAGGAAATGGCTGAATGAAAATATTATCAGTTAGGATAAATGGTGAAATAGTTGAAAATATTGTATCAATTAAATATTTAGGGACATATATTGACAGTTAACTAAAGTTTGATGATCACCATGAATAGATTATTTCGAAAATTGCCAAAAAACAAATTACTTTTATAGGGCTTCTTATAGTCTTGGTACATATTCCAAGAAAATAGTTTATGATTCAATTACTCTACCGTATTTAGTACATTGTTCAACTATCTTGTTCACTGCCAATGAACCTGTATTCTCAAAATGACAAGTCCTGCAAAATAAAGCTGTGAGAATAATATTGAATAAAAATATGTACACCAAAATAAAATCTATGTTGCAATTCGTATCATATTTGGTTCTTATGTTTATATTTAAAATAAAAATTCATTTTTGCCACAACATTTACAACACTACATAGAATTAAATAATCATTATCACAATTATTATAAAAGAGGAAATATAGATTTTCATTTACAAAGTTGCAATAGTAATATAACTAGTAAACCAATATTTCAGAAAGGATTACTCGAATCAAAACTAAATAATGATACACAGTCTACTTGTAATTTAAAGATGTTTAAAAGAAAATTAAAGGAATATTTCATGGACAGTGAACATTCTCAGGGCTGCAAATTTAGTCTTTTTTTCTAAATATCTGTATGTTATGTAATTGTTTAGTTTTTTAGAAGAATGTAATTGTAGCAATCATGATAAATAAATCTTAAACAAACAAAGAAACAAACCCAAACACCCCGGTTGCGCTTAAGTGAAATAGGGCTCACCTTCAGCATTGATTTTTTCAATAATATCAGTTGGTAACTTGTTAAAGGTCAGTTGAGCAGCATCCAGTTTACCCAAAGTTAAAAAGGCGAACATTAAGCTATTTGCTTGAAACAATGCTTCTCCACGCTGTTCCTCGTAGAACAATACCCAGTCTAAAGCAGATATCTTTAATTTGTCGACTGGCGTCAGTTTTGGCTGAAAAAAATATTTGTTAGTGATAGCAGAGGTCCATTACCACAATACTACTACTATTATTTCAGTTGATGAGTCCGGGCAGGGAATTTTTTATACAAATAAATTTTGATTGTTTTATTAGCTGAAATTGTTTATACGCAATTTTTAAAGATGATGCAGCTTATTCCTTTATTTTTTGTTCGTGTGTTAGGAAAAATGCATTTGAATTATGTACTCATGAAAGCTCTGGCTGCTGGATAAATCAGCCAATACGGTTTAATTTTTCTTGCAGATAGCGATGAAGCCTGCCCATAAATTTCATGCTAAACTGTCAATGTTAATAAAAAAAGGTTGGTTTTACCACATCTGATGGAAGCCTACCTTCTAGGACAAAACTATCCTAGAACTCATTACTTTGTGGCGAAACTCTACGTCAGCACTTCTCGCTCTTAGAAAATACTCACTATATATTATTAGAAGCAAATATCGATATAGTTAAATAAAAATGTGTCTACTGCACATTTTTGGTTTGGATGTACTATATCGAACTCCATTAAGCAATTGAAATAACGTTTAATAATTACATTACCTGCAAATTTCCACTTTCCTCTACATCATGTGGAATATTTCTTATGTTCTCAACCACCTGCTTTGTGATTGCGAAAATATTCAATCCACTGTTTTCTGCATATTCTAAGGATACTTTCCGGTCTTCTGTGTCGTGAACTGCTTCCAGATATTTGGCATAAAGAAGCACTTGATTTCGTACGTTTAATTTGCTGACGTAGAATGCAACTAGCTGCGTTTCATTCATGTCCATAAGTCTTTTTATATAGCTGGAAAGAAGCAAATCTTTAATGATTCAGAGATCCTTACAAAAATAATAAAACTATTGTTATATAAAAATAGCAATTAGCACAGAAAGCTCACTACAGGTTTCAATGCAACTATTCCTTACAGTGATAATACTGCTTTTGTCTGTTCAATCAACCATACACAGCTGCAAGACGTTAGGTCCAAAGACGATCACGTCACCAGGCGGAATAAAAAAATTCGTCAATATCACCAACTATTTCATTTCTATCGCCATATTTCTCATCAACAAAATTTTGCGCTGATTTGAAAATGAAAAATAAGATCCAGGTGCGAACATTTCATAGTTCAAAAAAAAACACGAACTCACGAGTGACTGGCAAAATCTTTTACATTTGACAGTACCGGCTTGTTTAAGCAGCGCTTCTGAGCTTTCAGCTCCGAAAATTAAACATCCTGCTCCCTTTTATTGAAAAAAATGCTAGGCCCGGAAGTAGTATATGACTGGAGCTTGAATAGTAGAAAGCTCCAAACGGGTGTGGTACAAATTTATCGTGCCTTGCTGTCGTTAGCACTTTTTAAACAGCTACGCCGGCATATTATGCAGATAGCTAAACCAAAAAAGTATATGAATAATGCTTTAAGGTATTGATTTACTATAGTGAAAATAACCATAATCATTATAATTATCAAATACAGCTAAAAAGTACTTACATTTCCAGAACCTTTTCAACAATTTCTCTGTTATGACCATGGCCAATTTGATCAAAAAATAAAACCAAATGAGCGAGGAACCTTAAAAAATGCGACGTCTGTTCATCATCCTCTACCCATTCTTCAAACTTCAGCAACAGATTTGGAATATCGTCAAGAATGATGTGCTTCTGTATTACATATTCATATTTTTTAGCTTCTTCGGCAACTGTGCGATTCCTTGACGACTCCAGAGATGAAAATAGCTCATTTAGAGACATCCTGAAACAGGTTCCAAGGCAAATTACAAAATGTAGTACAAACTGGAAACTCAAATAACTCAAATATAATATAGTCATCGTACTGAAGAATATCACCTTTGTGATTGAAACGATTATAGTGAACAGTATTATGTCAATAAATATGGTTTTATTGGCCAGGCAAGCATGGGGGATTATCAAATGAACTACTCGGTTTAACACCTTAAACTGAAATAGAACTACTATGTTGACAGTTCAAAAGAGGACTATTTTGCCTATATTTAGGAAACGTCACCAATGAATAGTTATCAATAATACTCAACAGTTTCTCATCGAATATGCAACAATAGTCAATAACTTGGTCTTCTTCAAATTAAGAGCTCAACTAGTCGTATATGTCTTACCTTTGAGCCCAATATTCGTCTGGTAGAGGCGAATAGACTTTATATCGGGTTACACAATCTCTGATCTCAGATTCGACCTTTATATCAACCATAGCTTTCATGTATGCCCACAAATTATCCTCCCATGTGTGACAGACTGGCAACATCGCTTCTATATAGCCACAAAATGAAGCTATCGCTGCTTTGTCGTATGAAGTGAGATCGTCCTAGCAAAAAATTGCTTGATAATTCAAAAATACAATAATTATTTCCAATATGCAGTGCATAGGAAATTATTTTGCAATTCGATTTTCTCAATGATTCAATATAGAATGGTATGTATCAAAAGAGCTTCAATAAATTGTGTATAGTCCAATCGTCAGGAGCTCATTTATGCACGCGACCTGTGTCGCGTGATAGCGCACGACCTGAGCAGTCGTATTACATTTTTTCATCGCGCAATTTTTAGATCATGACCTACGAATTTACTAGCTGCACTATCAACAATCATCAAACCGATAGTTGATGTCAACCTGACAGTCTTGCTATATGCGTGTCGTGTCTTTTCTAGTCGCGTTCACGTCGCGTTGCACAAAGGGTACTAGAAAAGTTTTGCAATACAGCTTTATTAATTGACTTCGTTCAAAGTAATTTCCACCACATTTCCTTCTCTTCCCTCTCAGCGTCCTCCAGAGTGAAATTGCCCCCTTTGGAATTCTCCGTACCACCTGAATCTAGTCGTACGATGAGGACAATCATTCTTTAACGCAAGCGTCATTTCTTCTAAGCACTGTTCTATGCTTAAACCACGCGTAAAATTATATCGTAAAACTGCCCTTATCTCACTACGTGGCCACGATGCCATAGTCCGCACATTACACTGTCAGTACGAATGAACAACTAAATCAACAGACGTGCTGCTGGCGGCTACTATGCACTCATGGAATTGTCTCAACATGCAGTAGCATGCAGCCACCTGCGTCCGTTCGTTAAGTCATATTGCACAACTTCTATAGTACCCTTTGTATTTATAACTGGATTCATAGACCAAAAATCGACCCAGTTTCAAAAAAAAATGTAATTAGCGGTGTGAGAGTATATGACAAGGCTCCTCATTGAGAAAACCAAAACTGCTGACCCACTTTTTTATTAAACCTCAAAGTCGAAAAAATTACGTTTTCGCGTATATTCGAATTATTTCTGTAAGTGGTCAAAAAAATGTAGAGGTTGAAAATACCTCCGAAATGAGACCTTACCTTATTTATAGTAACTGATAATTTGATATTACAAAAAAAAATCAGAAGTCGTTGATTTCTACATTTATTTTTTACTGGAAAATGCATAACGGTAAATTTAAAATAATTAAAGAATAGTCATAAGCCTTTGGGGTGCTCAAAATCTATAAAGAAATTTCATTCATGAAAACGCGTCTCTGTGATTTTCTAATTGTTACTATTTTTTTCAGGAAAATGGCCTTTTTTGATGAGCTGTCCGTGGCGCTTATTCTGTTGCTGAAAGAAATACCAGATACAGACCAAGTAAAAAGCGTCGCCAATGATACATATATTGGCTTATATACAATCAGAATTCCGTTGTTTTTTGACAGTCGTCTACTACTGAAAATTTAATGAAAAATACACACGTTGACGAAAAAGGTACTCTTTTAGACCCTTGGGGCCCAGGTCTGCTTATACGGCCATATACGGCACACAGCTCCATCACTCCTTCAATTTTTCGTAAATGAGTTATAAACAACAATATTAATCTTGAACAGAAAATTCTGAAAAATGTATTTTACATAAGAAGATCAAATGTAATCTACCAACCGAAGAACAAAATTGTCAGTTGAATTTTCTATGGAATACCTCTCCTTGGTAAGGTGTATCTAGCCGCAATATGAAACGATCTTATTTTAAAGATATATTAATTCCCAACAGTTTGTTTTGGACCACTTATACCAATAGTTCATATCTAGTTGAATATACGCAAAAAATGGTTTTTCAGTGTTGTTATTAATTAAAAAAGTTATCCAGCAAAATTTTTGGAATTTCTTTGGTGAGGGACCTTTCCGTATACCCTCAATAATATAATTCCATTGTAAAACAGCTTATTACTTTTTTCCCTCAAATGCTAGATGTCCTGGTCTATAATTTTACATTTATATTTATCCAAGAGATAGAACAACAAAGGTCCATAAATGATGCATCCTCATGCGATTATAAGAACAGAGTTTTGAAAACAAACCAAAGGTATGAGGTGTGTGGTCTGTTTAAAGAAATGTTGCAGGATCTACAGTCGAAAGACTAGACACTTTACATATTTTATTATTTCTTATACAATTAAAAACAAAAGAATTTCTGCAGTAGTGGTTGGTTTATTAATATTTTTTGTTTTATAGCAAATTAAGATTGTTCTTTAAACCTTCTGTATGTGGAGGTCATTTGGGCTTATAACCAGGAAATACAATCATAGGTAATAAAACGTTTGATGTTTTCAATACACGTTTGTTATAACAGCCCTCTTAAGCAAACTTCCGTCCTATGGCCTCCCAAAGCAGCTTTGCAGATGGGTGGTTCAGTTCCTCTCTGACCTTAAGATTTCCATCGTAATTCTCCTCTTCACCCCACAATGTAAGCTCGGATGTCCCCCTGAGATCAGCCTTGGTCTCAACATTGTTTCTATTACATATCAATACCATCGATCCCATCCACAGCTTTGCTAATGAGAGCACTACCCACACGGGCATCAATGTGGCAAGTCTGTCTGAAAGTTATCACTGTATGGCGACGCAAGGATTTGGCACAGTTTAATGCTTCCAAAACACAGTACTCTACCTTGACTAACAAAAAACACCCTAGCGCACATCCCACTTCGATGGATCACATCTGGTCAAACGTAACAGCTCCTGGGAGAAAGCGCGGCTCCTCACGCTGTACATAGCTCAGATAAGACCTAGCCTTGAATACTCCTGACATGTATGGGATGCTATCGCCGCGACTACACTGTCCATACTCGATGATGTACAGAGGAGGGCCGTCCGACTGATCGATGACATTTCTCTAACCGACAGTCTCGGGACCCCGCTCTCTTCCGTGATGCCACTTTGAGTCAGTCAGATAAACCCGCCAGGCCTCCCACCCCAACTCTGAAGAACTTCGTACATCCAGAACTGGCAGGTACGACCCCTTATTTATTCTTAGGGTGATGATATTGTGGAGCAGTGTGCCTGGCTTTATCCAGTTTTGCCAGACTTATGCAGTTCAAAAATGAGACTAACAAGGTGTCTTTTTCTCAACAGATTCTCATGAAACTCGATGGTTGGAATTAGGGGTTTAAACTGGTTTTGATTATGTTAGACCCATTTATTCCTAAGGCAGTACAACAAAGTTTTCCTGTACTTAATATTTCCGTTACTTTTAGGCTTGGTGTATTGCTTATTGTTCCCTGACATTTACGCACTGTAAAGGAAAATCCCAGTTTTTAGGGCTCCCTGTATATATGCCAGATTTTTCGCGAGAGGAATGAGCAGGCAGATGTTTGACGGTTGTATTATTACGCGACTCGCAGCGTTAAAAGGTTGTTCTGTTCAACGCTCAGAGAGACCGGACAAATTTGGTAGTATCGCGGTAGAAAAATATCGTACTGGGAATAAAAACCAGGCAGATTACTGAAAAAAGGTCCTATCTTCATCATATTATTGAAGTTTATTTTCATATATTATTCGAATGTATTCACTAAATCTTTTTTCCGTAAGTATACCAACAAAACTACATAGCAAACTTTTAGGATGTGTTACACATCTGAAGCCGACACATCTTTCAAAAAAAATGCTCAATTTGAATTTCTTTACCTGTTTACAGTACTTAATTGCAATATTTTTCCAAACGTCCCTGTTGCAGTTTCCTTCAATATCTTTTGGTTTATCCTGTTCCATGTCTTCAAAACCAGCGTCTTCATCATTTGGATCTGCATCTACGTTAGTTTCCTTCATATTGGGATCGTGAAATAATCTCCAACCTTCTAACATGGCTGCTCTCCAAGAATGACCACTTTGCCTACACAGCTGTAAGGGCATTATGTGTTATATTGAATGTACTGGTACTGAATTTTTTACATTTTTTGTTCGATATTTCAGATAACCGTCTTATACGAGGGTTGATTCCCATGCTTCTCCCTTAACCCACTTGCAATTAGTTGATGTGCTACAGCATTTCAAAGGATTTTTGGTAAAAAGTTTGTTCAACTGCTGAAAAGCAATTCTCTAGGGCAAACTTCACTTGCTGATCACTTGAAATGTTTTTTCTTGAACACGTTCTTTCGATTTTGGAAATGGTCAGAAACTACCGATGATCTGGTGAATACGAATTTAAAGGCGGCTTGTTGTCGAGCAGACATGGCAATTTAGGAGCTACAGCTAGAAGCGGTATCCTGATGAAGCAATACGTTTTTTCAACAAACAAACATTTTTCTACATTTTTTATGCATGTTTGTACAATTAGAACTTGTTAACAACTACTATTACAGCAATGTCAAGCTTATAGCCAAAAGCTGAAGCTTACCGTACATGACTATTTGTGTTTGTATGTTTACTCTACATGGACTGTGTAACTATGTCGTCAGCTTCTCCCTTGTCTTCAAATAATTATGTGAATAATTACAATAGTGAATGTTTCGAGGATCAATTTTTGTCAGTCCTTGACATCTACTTACACAAAATCTTTATACTGTTACCACTCGGTAACGCCATACACGCGCCATCTTCTCATATAGATCGATAGATACCCCAAACCGTACCCGCTTAGAAATGCGCACATAGTCGGCAAATAATGCATAGTCTGCACCGGCGATGTGTGTGTGGGGTGGGGGGGTATATCGGTTTATAGATGGTCTGACACGTGCAGGCATTCCTGGGGCCACTCTGGGCGATTTTTTGTAGAGGAGACCACTGAACCTTCCTAGTTAAAAAGCAAATACTGATTCTAATACACTTGTGAATTAATTTTTGTCTTCTTATTGAGCCTTCAACCAGCGAGTCCGCTCAACCGCTCAGAATAGTGACAATACTAAGAAATTCAAATGGACCTATTTGTGATTGCCATTTTTAGTCACTATGTCAGAAAATCGAAAAATTTCGTGTGATTGTCAGTCCGTATCACCCAAACCTCAGATTGCTGCAAAATGGGTTTTCAAGAAATGCAAAGCTTATTCGAAGAAAAAAAGGGGTGAAGTAAGTTGGCTCTGCACGCTGTTATCAGTAAATAAAGGATTATGTTCAGCACAAACTAGACCCTCTGAGAAAAAAGTCAGTCAAACAGGCCCATCGAATTAGTCCAGACATTATTTCGTGCCCTACTGGTATAGTATCTGAAAATGCCACCTCTACCTGGGTCAGACGTGGGAGCGCTTTCAGAGCCTAGGAAACACTATGCTGCGACACGGCAGAAATACCTTGGATACCATATCAGAACAACATAACACTCCATAGGGCTTTTCGAATGACGTTTGCAGAACAAGCTATCGGATTATGCTTTTTATGATCTGGGCGAATTTATCACGTTCTACAATGCTTCTGATCGATTTTAATAAATAACTTATTGCCATGTGTGTATGTATCACATTGTTTCTTTTATGTACCTAATGTTGTTTTCTTGTACTTCATTTTATCTATATTTTAATCTGTATACACCGACTTATCCAATGTCTACAATGTAGATCTCTAACTGGATCAATAAATGAATCTGTCTCCGCAGCCGCGACCCGTAGGTACGCGTCCGTCTATCGACAGTATCTTTCTTTAACGGCTAACGTACAGAGAAATCTACGATGTGTGAAATATGTCTAATAAGTACGTAAATTACCAAAGTTGGCAGCGTATAAATAGACTAACATCAAAAAATTGAGATAAATTCTCCCCACCACCCTGCAACCTCCACCTCCCATTTTTATCTCTAAGTTTGTTTCAAAAATGATCAGGATCCTCTAAAACGTCAAAAAAAAGGAGTATGAGCGATTTTTATTCTTTCGTTTCAGGCTTTTTTCTCTGCCGTCACTGGACCGGGTCCACTCGACGTCCTATGCACTGCCGATGTGTTGGACGCCAAAACTGCTGGAAAAACCGTACGTGTAAAGCGGCCTATTTGAAATAAATAACTACCATAATGCAGTGTACAGATTATTGTAAAGAAAATATAAAATCAATTACATAGCGCGTGTGTTCTTACCTGTTGAGCATCTTCTAACTTCCCACATCTTATCTCTGTGAATATTTTCCTCTCTAATCTTCTTTCGTCTTCCATGTCCAAATCGTGGAGGGGCTTTTTTTCATAGTGTGGTGCATCAGGGTCCAAATGGCGAACTATCTCCCTGAAATAAATTCTTAAGTAATTCAGAGTATATCCAAAGCCAGGGACAAAAATTTGAGAGAATATTTTTGCACTATTCCAAGTATACTTTGTCCTTTGAAGTTTTTCAAGATAGCCATTCGTTTAGAAGATGGAGGTCAACAACGTCTGCCGTTAGGTTGCAACGCCGACGAACTCACAGATGAGTGCCCGATTATAACGGACTAGCGACTGTATACTCACGGTCACCTAAATACTGAAAGCTTGAATTATTTACTGTGATCTGTCAGTATTTATCATTTGAGATTTATCGACCATGTAGCCAGGACGGCAGTAGTTAGTGATGTAACATATAAGGTTACTTGAATATCCACTGACACTCAAGGAATGATCAGGAAATACAGATGGTACAAATCACAGTAAATACTGATCGTGTGACATTCACATTAATGTTTGCATGAGTGTTTTTAAGAAAAAAAGTAATAAAATTGTGACTTACTTAGACCCATTCACTCGAAATTTGGGTGTTTTTTCTTCACCTAGCAGATAATTTGTTCTTAAACATCAGATAAACGACGAAATTTTGACATCATAGTATCTCAAACCACTCAATCATCTGAGGATTTCGTGGTTCAAGCTGCATCACACAAGCGATAAAAAATATAAAATGCTCCTACGTAATGTGGCAATTAAGTTCTGAGGATTTAGTGATAACTTGAGAACTAGTAATACTATATCGTTCGTTGCAATCTATCAAGAGATGGAACACCTTCCACTTGGTTTCATTCCAAGGTTGAAGCCGATGACACGTTTGGTTCATGTTTTATACGTATTGGTCGGAAATAACGTTGTGGAGTCGTGAAAAGGAGTGAGTCATGTTACAAGCAACGTCTTGTGATGCAATCAAGTTTCTCGAAATCCGATAGGAGACGAGTACACGTCAAAAGCACGGTTGTTTGAACGGGCGAAGCGGTTCGAGTAACGATGTGCATCGGTAGAAGGCAATCCTCGTAAAAGAGTCCCAACACTTCCCGTCCTAACCCGTTCGCATACATTGATGACGTCTAAGCAACGCCTAAGTATCCGTACGTTGTCTTTCGAGTTAAACATCAACAAAGAAACTCTCCGTGAGATGTCGCAGAATAATTTGAACACGTAATACTTTTGAAACGTTGGTGCCAGAAGTTCTCAGTCTTTCTTTGTCCAATATGGAAAAGTCTATGGTGAAAAGAAGGCACTCCAACTGTTTGCTGGGACATTTCACGATGATTTATCCAATAATCGCTATATCCAAGATTTCTTGCACCCTCTATCGACAATGCAATCAAACTTTCCACAAACCAACCAATCAGAACGCAGGATCATTAATGTTCACCAGATCGACGTCATTATTGATTGAGCAATATAACGACGAAGTCCATATTGTCCTTTTACGATAAATAATTGCAGTTTTAATAGAAAAACTATCAGAGACCGTTCAAATGAGTTGTCAACATCCAAGTTAAATATAAAGTAGTACAATTTGATTAAGTGAAATCTTCATTAAATTTAAAAGAAGAAATATATAAATGCCAATGACATTATTTAAAAATAGTTTAACAAATAATCAAAATCAAACACACTACAATGCTACTACTTGCGCACACACTACAATGTTAAAAATTCATTCATTGCTTCCTCCCTCAATCAAACATGTAGAATATTTTTATCTGAGTATGAAAAACTTTGATTGCACTGTATACCCGTGTAAAATATGACTGTTTTGACCTACACTTAGCCGTAAGTACACCCGTCGGATGTTTTGACTACTCCTTGTACCATATTGATATACCATGTTATTTCTTGAATATTGTTCTTGTTCTTTTATGTTCATTATAAGGAGGTATATATATATATACAGGCTAGCCAAAGTCAAAATACCATGCTGAATAAATAAGCAGGTATGCAGTGTGTTGTTGGACTTGCACCTGCCATACATCTGATGATCTTCTGGGTACGAAAGACTTTATAAGCATGAACAGAGTCTCCCCAGATCACAAGACCATAAGATAGGGTTGAACAAGCCCAAAGTATAAAGTTTACAGTACATCGAAAACTGTCTGACCATGAAGATTATAGATTTGTTCGTACAATGGTCGGTGAATGTGTCTGGGATCTGGCCGAATGAAGTCCGTCTATATACCGTAGCAGAGTGAACGGAATTTGTGTGTAGCAAAAACCGTAACCGTGGTACTAGATAGGTCACCTTCCAAGAATTACCAAGGGTGCAACATGGAAATCATCGCGAACAGTTAAAGGAAGAATATTGTAGTGATTGACGAGAAAATGTTGTCCCGAAAATGTCTTTGATTCCTTTTTATCGACAAATTTCAGAAACTTAATCACCACAATGCGTATGATGACTGATGTTGCAATAAAAATTATGATTCTAACAAACCTTGAACTTTCAAAAGCTATTGTGTCCGCCGACTGCAATTGGTGCAATGTATTTTCCCATCCTACAGTACTATCAGAAAAATGCAGTGCCTCATCATCTCTATCGGCTGCATTGCTTTCTAACCAATCGATCACCATCTGAGCTTCACGCACCAGGTTATCGCGTTTGAAGAGATTCTGCATGCAAAGTTTTTCCGAACGGCCGCAATATTGTGGAATACCTAAAAAGAACGATTGGATATCTAAAACTGACACATTATCATACATAAAGAATGGCTCATCAGCATTTTTTTTCACAAGAAGACAGGGATGGTAATGTATTGATAAATAGGATGTTTTGATATGTGTCTAATATCTTACAGGGCAAACCCAGGTAATTTTAAACAAAAGATTGCTTATTCTTGACATAGAGTGTTAACATTTATTTTTGTTTGTTCGTTCTTATATCAAAAAAAAATCCCTACTACCCTTAGAGCGTTGAGCGTGAGAGCTCTCCTACTTTTGGAGAAAACGACCATTAACAATATTAAATTTGTTGATTTAAAACTAATCAAATATAACACAAATAAATGAAGCTGTGTTTTCAGACTGGATATAGTCGATGTTTTACCATGAACATATGGTTTTGCCAATACGCATCCATACCTGTCTGCTGGAATAGGTACCAGAGATGTCAAATCACGTTCACCTGAACTAACTTTTCGTAATCTCTGATAGATAATATAACAATAATAATAATAAATCGTCTTTATTTAGGGGGCGAAGTTTAGCATAATGCTACTCTGCCACTTAACCAAAAAAATAAAAACTGAAAAAACAATACAAAAAACATAAATACATTTGATAGGTTAGAAGTTTAAAAATCTAGGTGTTTAAAAAATGTGATGTATATAAGATAGGTGTATATAAGTGAAGGCTATTCAATATTTCATGAGTTAAAAGAATAAAATTGTAACAGTTATACAAAACAAAAGAATGCTATATCAGAAACATTTTTGTGTGAGGTGGCTTCATCATATGATAGCAATTTTGTGGATCAAGGTAGAGCATTGTAAAAACTAATTGAGGCACTTTGAAGATAGAACAATGTCAATGTGTACTCTTTGATATCGATTTTCTAAGAAGCTCTGAATCATTTTTGAGGCAGAATCAGAAAAACCAAAATATTACACTTGGCTACTAGAAGACGATGAGTTATGGTAATGAATGCCTTAGAGAAATCAAGAAGAACTAATGATGTGATCTTATGATGATTCCAGGCTCTAACAATGTTATCGGTTAAGTCTAGTAGGGCACCTGCAGTGTTATATCGTTTTCGATAACCGCATTGTTTTATGTTTAGAGAGATAATCGTAAATTTGGGCGTATTTCTAATAATTTGGACAAAACAGGTAAAATACTAATTGGTCTTAAATCAGAATATAATTTTGGTTTATTTATTGTAGCTAGAACTAACACTTATGCTTCTTTCCATTATTCTGGAGAGAATCCCCTTTCTAAACAGGTATTTATGATGTGTAAAATGTGACCTGAAATCGCAAAAAAGCATAGTTTTAGGATTTTGAGTGACACGCCATCACTTCCGAATGCATTCGATTTCAGAGACTGAAACATCGATTTTAAAATCAGTCATGTCGATTGATTTAAACTTGAATTGATCACTAGAATGGTGATTCTTTTCATAATGCTCAATCTTCTCTGTGCATAACAAATGGTGTTATTAAAAATGGAACAGAAATAATTATTAATGTCAGTAGGGTTCTTTAGATGTAGAGGAATATCGGTATTTTGTGATCACTAGAATGGTGATTCTTTTCATAATGCTCAATATTCTCTGTGCATAACAAATGGTGTTATTAAAAATGGAAGAGAAATAATTATTAATGTCAGTAGGGTTCTTTAGATGTAGAGGAATATCGGTATTTTGTGACTGTTGGATACGCATTGATTTTAAGGATCTATAAAACATTTTTGAATTATTTTGTTGACGGAGGGATAATACATATGCTGCTTTTTCATATCTAATTTGACTTAAAGTTGAATTTCTGAGCTCGTTGTAGCGATTCCAGGAATCCCCTGTCTTATTAATTTTAAACTGATTTAAAGCTTTGTCTCAGTCTTTCATCATACATTTAAGCTGGGATGATAGCGGTTGATGTACACGTACAATTTTTAGAGGTGCATGCTTATCAAAAATGAATTTTAGCCTATTTTTCCAATATTAAATTTTGTGATCAATACTCTACGGAATCTATAATGCTCCAGGGAAAGTTTAAAACATCATTTTGAAATGACATAATATCAAAATCTTTCAAGTCTCTGAATTTAAGGAATTTTTAGACTGCTAAGTTGTTTCACACAATACTAAAAAATGATGGGTAAATAAATCCATATCTATGGTCCCAGAATTTGAAGATCATTGTTAAATATGGGATGAAGTAGGCTGCTGGAAGTACTAGTTATTCTAGAGGGTTCTATAATAACTTGATGGAATCCATACCCATTATAATAATTTTCTAATTTGTTGTCTTATCTTAAAAGATTAATATCCATATCTCCAACAACTACTACATAATCAAAGTTGGATACCCGAAAAGAGAGAGAATTATCAGAAAAACCAATGGCCTCATCAACATTGTTATCGGGAGGTCGGTAAATTACCCCAAAGGCAAGAGTTTGGCCACATAATTTCAATTTAATCCAATATGGTTCTCAATCTGTAATTCTTCACACATTTCTCACGTAAATGCCCACGCCTCCACCGCGACTCTCCCTATGTTTTCGATAGAATGTATATCCTTGAATATACAAAAAGCTATCTAAGATGTTTTTATTGAGCCATGTTTTTATTGAACCATAGAGCTAAAATATCATAATCAGAATCTTCCAACATGTGGGCTAAACCAGATAGAGAAGGCAATAGAGACGGATTATTTAAGTGAGCAAATTTTAAAGGTTTGTTTTCTTTCATAATTTAGAATTAAATTTTGTATATTAAGATCCACCTCTTTAAATCTCAAAATGAAACTCGTGATACGTGTTGCTGTTGAAAGAATTTGAAAGTAGGGCATTTTTTATCAGTTGGATCATGATTTGTATCATATTATTTGTTGTACTTGTGGTTGGCAGACACATAGTTAGAACATTTGGTGGTTGATTGCAGGAGGAAATGTCGTGGTTTTCTCCATATTTTGAACATACTTTACAATTTTGACATTTTTTCATTGAATGATTAAACCTTCAGCAATGTTTACATTGGTAGTGGTAGGGTCTACTAATAAGTTGCCTTGCCCTGTGTGGGTTCGACTCCCGTCCCAAGATAATATTTCTCTTTGATATGGCTGTTGTGATTGTCCGTAGGTTGTACACGGTCTCTGACTGTCGAACGTGGAGTTACCATCCAACGGATCTCTAAGGCGGGTCCAGAACGTGTGCATGTTGCATGCACACATATTCACCCGCTAGAGTCCGTGTGGAGTCCCCCCTCCCTTTCCCCTGTATCCCCATATAGCCCCACGGTACCCATGGGTGTTTATGCCTTTGTGGTGATTCAAGTATAAAAAAGTATGTTCTGATAGATTGATTGAATTGAACCAGTCTCAACCATGCAAATGATATAATTGTAGGTTAAGAAAATGTGTTATGAAAAAAACAAAAATATACGGCATGCTAGCATAACATACATAATGGTGTTCCGCATATTAATAAATTCGATATAAATTATCCATCAACAACAATCATGCCCTTTCTCTGTCTCCTACTCATAAAATGCGATTAACTTCTGAACACAAACCAGCTTTTCAACAAAAACATTAAATGTTGAAAATCTCGTAAACTATAAGACAAAATGCGAAGAAATGTGTAACTTTAAACAATATAATACTTTTAAGTGATTTTAGTTTAAATTCTTCAAGCATGAAAACAAGAAAATTGAAATAAAGCTATGGCTTGAAGCAACAAATTGAAGTGATTACAAGAATATCATCATCAGAGCCTGTATTAGATCTTGTCATTGTGAATTTCAAATGTGTAGGGGTCAAAGCGGTAAACACATCTCAAGTTACTGATCACAGTTAAACAGTGAGCTGCGCTCGGTAGGACATTTTTCTGATACATATATTAAGAAAATCGTGAGTACTGTTAATTACGAAAAACTTGGCCAAGAACTTGCTGGCTGCTATTGGAATTTTAGTGAGAATATAGAAAAAACATATGACAACATAATAGGTAAAATATAAAAACTTGTTTATGTTGGAACTGATGAAAAGGTGATTTGCTCGACGCTGGTATAACAAAAATATTCAGGCAGCTCAAAATTTGAGAGAAAAACAATATCAAAAATGTATATTTACAAAATCAAATGATGATTGGGAACACACAACACTTAGGAATAAATGTTTGTATGTAATTAGAGAAGAAAAAAGGAAATTCTACTATAAACAAATCGACAACAAGTGCGACAGTGTGAAGATGTGTAAAACTTTGAAACAAATGATTAATTCGAAGCTGCATGACTGTAAATCAAGTTCAAATCGAAAACTGTACCAACACAAATTCCTTGGTGATTGCAAACAAATTAAATTAATATTTTGTGGAAAGTATTGTTGATATTATGGGTACTGTCAATGCTGCACTTGACTATATGAAAATCAGTTTCCAGGGGGAAATGTTGCATACACTTTCAAAACTTTATAGCATATCATCAAGTTATCTAAGAAAAAAATAAACAGTTTAAAAATTGACAACAATAGTTACCAAAATTACTACTAAACATGTGCTGAAAAACTGTTTCAAAATTTTGGGATATCCTGTATTAAATTGGATCAATTGTTCACTGAGAAGGAGTTCTTTGCCTGAAAATTTGAAATGTTCTACAATAACAAAATACAAATTTTTAAAAGATGCAGCAATATGAGATCCGTAAATGTGTTACCAGACATTGAAAAGCTATTGGAGTCCATAGTACATGACCAATTGATGCAGTTTCCAGATGGTTTCTGAGAATTGGAGAAGAGCCATAGACTCAGAAGAAGTTGTCATAGCAGTATTTTGGGATTTGAAGAGTGCATTTGAAACAATTTTGTTAGGTAAATTGTAGGCATATGGTATATCATATTGTTATAAATGGTGACTTCAACGTTCCTTCCTTTAATATCCAGTTCAATGACAGAAAATTCCAATCCTGAGTCAGTTCTGTGCTTTCTCGGACCTCACCAATTTT